TCTTTCTTCAAAAGGTAATTAGTTCCAAACTGGACTGAATGAAGATACAGTATAGGTGTTAGAACTACGCTGGATTTAAGTCCATCTTTTTACGTCTGTAGGAAATCCAGCATCAGGAAAGGGGAGACTGCTTCCCAGCAGTGCTGTTCCATCAGCAGGGAAGCCCCAGCTGCCCATGAGGACAGGGCAGGAGCAGAGGGGTCAGTCAAACACAAGGGAGAAGTGGGAGGGTGGAGAAAACCCTAGAGCAGGAGTGAAATCGAATGGACCAGAGGAAGAAGGGAATAAACTGCTTGGATATTGAGAAATAGCTTGCTATTCTGTTTCAGTAATTTCAGTAAATTCACACTTCTTTTTTTTTTAAAAAAAAAAAAAGAGGTGGGGAGTAACTGCTTTAGAATACCAGCACAGGCAGAACGAGACTGCTTAGTGGTTAATTGAGTGCTGTGAGTGGTTTTATTTCTGAGTCATGCAGTTATACCAGTCCCACACAAAGGGGAACTTTTAGATCATATGTCAAAATCTTCCTTATACAATCTGAATTTTCGAACAGTGACTAAAACCACTTAGTGTTAAATTTGTTGAGGGACTTAATTAAAGTGTTTTGATTGTGAATTCTTTCAGGACATTGTACTAAAAAGTTGGGTAGAGTTTGAGCTAGCTGTTTTTTACAGGAAAAAGCAGTGGCCATTCTGTGATTCCTCGGGCATGGTTTGTTTGCAAATATGATTACTAGCTATCTAATTTAGGATTGAGTGGAGAGGAAGAAGTTGTTGCTGATGATGTTAGCATGACAAAATAAAACATATTTCACAGGAGAGGAGTAAGGAGGAAACATACTTCAGGGTAGCAAAAGCAGCAACTAGATTTTAAGAATCTTGTCCATCTCAGGCTTTGAAACTTCGTCTTGGTCAAGGGGTGTAGCCACTGCCATGTTCTGGTGTGTACTGCCTCCTCTTTTATTACCCAGCACCTCACTTTCACAGGCAGGTGCTGAGAAAACCTAACCCGTACATAGCATTTTGCTTTGTCAAGATCTCAGTCCTTGGTTCTGTGGCTTGTTCTCTCTTAAGACACAGAGATGGTCCTACCTCAGTCTAATCAATATCCTGCAGCACTTTTTAGCCAGTTTTCTTAGCTGTAGGAAATTAGTCCAAATTCAAAGAGTTGCCTCTCCAAATAAGTGTCTTGACCATCACTAAGTTGTGGAGTATGTTATTTAGTCACTTTTTCTCAGCACAGTGAACAGGACAGACCAGTTCTTGGGTGAGTTGCTCTTCTGGTATGAGGCAGAGGGAAATTTTTCTCCTAGCTCTGCTGGTCATGTTGGTTTTCCACAGCTGAGAGGGATGAACAAACCTGTCACTTACTTGTATGTGTTGGGTTTCTGGGAGGTGGGATGGGTGAGTTTATCAAAATGTGTTTTGTAGAAAATCATTCATAGGAAGAAAATCTTAGTATCCCAGACCAGGTAAGCAGTGACTATTACTTCAGCCAAGCACACGCTGCTTCTGTGGCTCAGTGAAGTCATGGTTGTTGCAGGAGGAGTGTGCCAGCCAGAGAGATGTCATCTAAAGCCCATGGCCTGAAGGTATGAGTAAATAGTGAGTAAATGAGTAAATGGACAGGGAGCAGAATTTTAGTCCTTGCTTTGACCTGGCTGAAAGCTATGAGGAGACTTACGGGGTAAATTCATACGTTAATCCGGAAGTTCTCTTCCTGGCCTGTCATGTGGAAAAATGAATGTGTTCGGGCACACTTGCTAGGTTTTTGGCTTCATCTCAGAATGTCTGTGCTTACAGCAGGCCATTTTCCTGTTATAGCTGGTCTCCTTTTGGCTAACTTCCTTCTTAGCCCAGTAGTTTTGTCACTGACCTGACTTAGGAGAAATGTGTTCATAGCTGACAGGCCTCTGGCTATTTGTGGAGTCGCTTCTTTCCCCGTAATGTTCTACTTTGTATTAGGTCCTTATGGTGGAGGGGAGCCTGCCTGGCACGTTAGCCCCCTTGTGAATGCAAGGGAACAAACTGCAGTTACGTTACTGGAGAGGTTACTGGGCATTCTTAGTCTCTGCAGTGTCCTTCATTTTCTGCCTGTCTTGCTTTAGCCTAATCAGCTGCCATGTAGATCAGAGCAGGATGCCAGCAGGAAATGGGGAATGGTTGCTTCAACGCCTTGTGCACTGTTGTGGTTTCAGAGGATCGTAGATGACTGATGCTCTGGATTCTGCTGTCCTACAGCCTGGAGCAAGGATTGGGTCCTTAAGGTCCCACATGTGCTGCAAATTGACCTAACCATCGAGCTACCACTTGTACAACTAACTTACTGCCTTTTCTGTTAGCTAAGCCAAAGCGGAAACTACAACCGAAGATAATTCTCTAGAGCTGGTGAGTCCCTATAAGCAAAACTAGTCAATCTGTCATCGCTTGCTGTGTGAGAAGCCGAAGTTAGCCTGGGGCATTGTTCTTTTATGTAACAGAGGGGACGTGGCTCTGGTCCAGGTGATCCAGAAGCCTGAGGAGCCAGTCCGTCCTGTGATGTTGACCTGATTAGCTGTAAATAATCCCGGCTCAACTGCCCTGTTCGCTGTGTTTGCCCTTTGCTGTTGTTTCGGTGAGGGGAGGGGGAAGGACGTGTGTTTCCTAGCTACTAGGATATCTCCCGTGTTTATGAATGGGACTACCTGTACCATGATCTGTGCAGAACTGGTTTCGGCGCATGCATGGAATGAAGTATGGAG